GCTTCTCCCCCTACTTTGAAGATAGTGTGATATTTGTTAAGCAATGCATCAGTTGCAAGCCGTTGGGCTGTAGATAATTGTTGTCCTTCATTTCCTCGCAGTCGGCAGTTGTTTACAACTGGGATTTCTTCCAGTACTTGGGATTGATGAGGTTTCACGAAGCTATATTTTCTTCGAGTTTCATCAGAAAAGTGCCACTTATTTTCAGCAAGATTTAAAACAATTTTAGCTTTTTGAAGAAAGTCAATTCCTAACAGAGTCGAGCTATTTTTGGCATCAGGCAATACAAGGAGCGGAGTTTTGAACTCTCTGCCTTCGAGAAGAATAATTTGTTCGGTGCGAAGTACCTCTTTTTCAGATACCAAACCATCAGCGAAAGACACCTGTAGTGTTGTCTTTTCAAATACTGCATCTTGTTTCTGCAGAATATGATAGAGGGATTCACTTGCGATTGAGTGATTAGCACCACTGTCGGCGAAAGCTGTACCGGAAACACCACCAATACTAATTCAAAATACAGCAGTCCGAGTGGAAGATAAACAGGATCGGATTTGGATAGTGCCAAAATTTGATGAATTTGAAGTCTTTGAGGGGTTACAGTCTGGACATTTAGACTTGATAAAACCAGTTTTTCCGCACCCATAGCATGTTAAAGGAGGTCTCGTTTTCTCTGTTTGTTGCTGACTACGATTTAAAAAGGTTTTATGAGTTCCCTGTACGTCACTTGTTCGATTTTTGACTTTGTGTTTGGATGGATTAGTCGGTTTGTAAGAATAGATTCGCCTGCCAGGAAGTGGAGTTTTATAGTTCGTATTTTTAACACGTACAGCTTCATAATCATCCAATTTCTGTACTAATTCAGATGAACTCTTTATTTTTCCCCAAGTATCAATAAAATGCTCTTTAACGTCAGTACTGACTCTTCGTTTAAGCTGATCCGTCAGGACCAAGTCTTTGAGTGATTCAAAGTCTGTAACATCGAGACTATGAAGCCACTCTTCGAGATAATTGTTTAATTCGTAAGCAAAATCTTTCCATAAGAACCCAGGGTATTTTTGGTGTGTAGTAAGTTTAATTCGAAATGATTCAGCATTTAATTTGAATTTTGTAGGCAGAATCTTCTTGATGTATCAGAATAATCTTCTAATTTGTCTTTCGGTTCTCTTAAAATAATTTGCGAAATGTCCTATAGGGAATATATAGAAGAGGTAGGAGGATGAGTGATGTAATCTATTTGTTTTATATTAACTTTCTCACATTGTCTTTCAAAAATTTGCAGGTAGGTTGCAATGTCAGAAGTTCCTGTAAATTTAGGGATTAGGTGTTGAATATTTGTTCCAATAGGTGCATTTGAAGCAAAGGGGGCATAGTTAGGGTTTGAGCTAGCAGCTCCAGGTTTAATTTTAAACGTTGTTATTTCGATTTTATTCACAATACAGTATTTTAGAATTAATAATTATACCTTTAAGTAAAATGTATATACCTCTATTAAACAGCATGTATGAATGTAAACAATGTTACTCGTACATTTATATACCACTATTAAACAGTATTTATAAATGTAAACAATAATACTCACAAAGTTTATTATTTCGGAGTCGTAAAAATATCATAAAATGCCCTCATAAATTCAACTTGTATCAAGAAAATAACATATAATAAATTGCTCAAAAATTGTTTACTACTTAGCAAAACATACATAAATGTCCTACCATAAGCTTTTATATTTAAGCTGAATTCTTCGAAATCTTAATCTTAACAAAATATTAAGTTGATTAAGCAACACACACTTAGTAACTCTTTTACTTTATTTAAATAGTCATTCGATTTTATTCATAATTATTTTCTTTCGCTTCAAGAAATATTTTCAAGACATGCATTCATTAAAGGAAAACAATCGTATTTTCTTAAAGTATTATACTATAATCATTTTATCAAAATGTTCGTCGAAAGATAAATCAACAAGTACAATATTTTATGTAGAATAAAACATTTAATAAGGAACAACAGCACTCAAAGTAAATAAAAATAATAAAAGATTTGACGTAAACACATCATAAATCATCGCTAGTCTAAACATTTCCGCGGGGGGAAAACATCTGCTGCTGTATGTCAGAATCGAAACTAAGAAATTCTAATGAACAACGTCCATGAATATATTCAAACTTTAACATCAAAACATGTATTCAGTGAAACAATATTATTCACAAATTAATTTACTATGCGCATTAATATTTTAAAATAACAAATTACAATTCAAGAAATAACGTTTGGTTAACAGAAAGCCGTTTGCTTTCGTTTAATACTCTTATGTAGTATCAATAAATGAGATTTCAGTAAAGAATTTACATTTGCTTTAAGAAGCAGCTTATAATAAATAATCAGTTTAAAAGAACTTTAAACTCAGATTAAACGATAATGTAAACGAAACTTATCTTTTCCGTTGAAATTGTCCAGTTGATGATTCGATGTGCTAGCAGCACGGTATGACAATTTTAATTCCAGAATTGGTTTCCAGAATATTTGATCAGTAGTCCACACCTGAAAAGAAACTGAGCCGATCTCCAGCAACTAAAAGTTAAATTCGGGAGTAAGATAACAGAAATAAAGCCAAACAGAAATTCTAAACATTTGTTGCGCCATTTTGGATTCAAATTTAGTTGGGAGCCAATGTGATGTAGCCGTTTCTCAATAGACACTAATGCCGGCTAGCTTTAAAAGGATTTATTAACAGAGAACACAGGAACGGTTACAAACAAAAGAAATATACATAAAAATGAAACATATACCAAATGGAACATCAAACAGTTGAATAACAGAGACATAGTAAACTAACATCATGGCGGCTGGAGTTCGACTGACGTTTTTTCATATCGCCACGAGATGGCGTTTAAATAAAATAGTTCGGTTACAGTTCATGAGTTCATGGCGTGAATAAAATAGTTCAATTACACTTAAATAGGTCTGTTACAATTTTGTTTATAAACGATTATCGTGAGGTGACAGTTTACTTAAATGTCGTTGCTATTCATAATGTGGTTATGATGAAATCACATAGAAAATCGAGAAAATAGAAAAACGTTATATTCAGTTTCAGTAACTATTACATATAAGACTCTTTAATATACCATATTTATGAACAACTCACGTACCGTTTTTACAAAACTAATAGCAAATAATAGCAACAAAATGGTTCTGCAGCTGAGTGAAAATCGATGCCGCACTATTTGTTAAATATGTCTAATTTACAATTCTGGCCATTAAAATTGCTACCGCAAGAAGACGACATACAATTAATGTCAACTAACATCAGACGTACTATATTTTGTGATGTGCAAAAGATTAGCATTTCAGCAGATACGCCAAGTATGAGTAACGCCATCTACATTGTGCATAAAATGGATAACAGCACAAAAGAAATCATTTAAAAATCAGATTTTAATGTTGGTTGGTTTTGTAAAGATCGTGTTACCCATCAAGAAAAAGTCCCACTGGTACGTATGATTCGACTGGAAAAGGATTGTTGCCTTTTAAGAGGCCGGTTCATCGTTCCGCGACACTGATGCTCGTTTTGGTCGGAATTCTATGACGGTTAGCGTTACGGGATGGGGGGATTCAGGAGGGCCATACAGAATGCTAAGCAGAATCTCAGCTTCCTGGGCTCCAAACATGCGAGAAGATAAACATGTTATCCTCTTACGCGGGATCATACAGATATGTCACGTATCCTGAATCAGGACCTTGTCTCATATGCAGAACGACAAGTGTCTGCACTGAGAGTTTCCTGAAGTTTGCAGCCCACGGATTATGAGCACTGCGACCATTGTTGCGTTTTTCCTAGACGCTGTAGAAGACGTGACGAAAGAAGACACTGGACCCTAAAGTTGCACTACCCCATCTTTGTAGATGAGCCCCGGTTCTATGTATAGCATCTTGATGGAGGTGTCTGTATTTGGAGGCCCCGAAGAGAATGAACGTTGTCAACTTGCATTCGTTATCATCATACGGGCTTATCACATGGCGTGTTGGTAGGGGGTGCCATTGACTACACATCGCCGTCACCTCTTGTATGTATAACCTGTGATATGGACAGCTGCCATTACATTTCCGACGGGTAAAAGCCAAAAGCTTTTGGCTGTGCCCTGTCTTCGAAGCCCGAGTGATGCCATCTTTCAACAAAATAATGCACGACCGCATTTTGTCGGTGTTGTCTTGACCTGTTTCGATATGGAGAATTTTTGACTGTTACATTGGCCGGCATGTTCTCCAGATGTCTCACCCATTGAGAATATCTGGTCATGGGTTATCGAAAGAGTGGTACACCAACATTCGCTAACAAGTACAGTTGATGAACTCTTGCACACAGGTGAACTCGCATGGAATGAAGCACTCGTATCTGTTCATCCAAGCTGAGTTCAACTCGATACCCAGACGGACTACACCCGTTATTGCTGCCAACTATGGCATATCTATATACTGAATTCTGCAAGCTATAGACCCCAAATCACCTGCAAAGTTAATCACGCCCTTCTCCCACTAAACTATATATGTACAACGAATAAATTTCTGCTATTTACTTCCGCTTCTGGTGTAGAATTGCAAAGGGCAACACGGTAGATTCGCTCAAAGTGAAAATATATAATTCCAGAAAATTAAAAATGAAAAACTGAGGAACTTAAAGTATATTTGGTATGCTAAAGTCAAATAAAAAGCTTTACATATATAAGGTATTTCTCTTGCCTTCTTAGCATGCCTTCGTGGTGTAGTGGTCAGCACACTCGGCGCGAATTCGAGAGGTCCGTGGTTCAAGTCCTCATTTTTCTCCTTTTTCATGTCTCCTGTTTCGAAATAAACTAATGTCTCTACAGTGGCGCTCGAACTAAAGATGGTTGTGAATGATGATACTCCACCACCAGGATTTGGCGATTGGGTCCCCTAATCTCCAGTTGCCCTTTAAAAGGGGGAGTATATATAAGGTATTTCTCCCGCCTTGTTAGCATGCCTTCGTGGTGTAGAGGTTAGCACGCTTGGCGAGTATCCAAGAGGTCCGTGGTTCGATTCCAGGCGAGGGCATTGCTCATTTTTCATCTCTCTTGCTTCGAAACAATCTAATGATTCTACACATATTTCAAGAAAAATTTGTAAGAAATCTAAAATTTAAAATTATGCCAAAAAATATGGACCTTCAGACAAACAATAACTATCACTTAGTAGTCAAAATCTGTGCCACATTAAGGTCGCATTTTTGCCTGATTTTAGGCTTTATATTGTTATTAGTATTCTCTGCATCAAATTGTAAGATAACGCGAATCACTTATAAGGAATGATTATATTCCTACGTTTGCTTTCTTATGGTGTAAATGATTAAAACGTGGCTGTAGTAAATGAGGGAACTGCATAGTTCGAAACTAGACAAGATCACAGCTGTATTCCAATGTTTCTTAGTCCAAAATGTCCAGTAGTCTCTGAATTTCTTTCTGAAAAAATATTCCAATATCATAACTCAAGAACATTTGTAATGTATTCGTATCCAATACCATTATAACAACAAACATGAGGCTCCATTACAAATCTGATTTATACCATTTGGCGATAAAAAGAAAGATAGCTGTGAAATTTAATAAAAGAGTACCAGTTTTCTTTTTCAGTTCGATATCTGTCAACCAAATGACTCTAAAAGTGTGCGCCGTGATGCGAATTGCATGATAGCGTGAAATTCATGTCAGACCCTAAGAAAAAGAGATGATTCCAATTCTAGAAAGACGACAGATCAAAACAAAAGAGAACGGAAAGTAATATATACTACTGAGTATCACATTCGGGAAAAGTAATTCCTTTTGCCCCGGCTGTTGGTGTGACTTTTCTTCCTATCAATAGCATTGCACTGGAAGGATTACTTTAACAATCTGTCAAAGCAATTTCCTTCAGAATGGTTTCTGGAAGATAATCTTGAACAGTAGTAACAGCGTTAAGTAACAGTAGTAACAGCGTTAAGTAACAGTAGTAACAGCGTTAAGTAAGGTCTCCATTTACATTAAAATATCTGTTCCATAGCTTATTTAGAATCTGAATTTTGAAACTTCTGTATACTATAATGAAAGAAACACAAGATTGAATGAATCTATGGACGATTTATTTTTCTATAAGCAATTTTTTTTTTTTCAAAGGAAATAATACTTTCGATTTGAAACTTTTAGAAATTACTAGAAATCGTGTCCACAAGTGTTCTTGCTTTTCTTCTCGCAGTCCTTGATCATAGATATATAGTACTTTCAATTATAAAATGTTTTAAATAGCGCAAAATTTCATGTTTTCGTATGCTTAAATTTAAAATCCATTAATTATTATAAAATATGAAACTTAACATTTTAAACTTTCCTTATGCCTATATACTCTAATATTTAGTAGAATTTTATATTCATTATAAAATTTCAAGCACGAAACGTTTCCGACAAAGACTGCAAAAACTGGTTGGGATATTTTACATTAAACTCGGGAATCATATTCAGGAGCCGTATGGAAATTGAGGAGCAAATTGTTTACATTCATACCAAACTAAAAATAAAACATCGTTTAGGAAAACGTTTTTGATCATAAGCGATTACTTGAACAGGTATTTCTACGCAGATTATTGTGGAAAACATTGATCAAAATAATTCGTTTTAAAAACGGAGTCTTATTCCTTGAAACGTGTAGAATTCGCATTGCAAAAAAATACTGACAGGCTTCAGTATAGGCTCAAATTCAATTCTTAACATTATTTAAATTAATTAAAAAGAAAAATATTTGTGTTCTAATGAAGTATTTGTACGATTACCAGATTATGATTCTAAAGTAATAAAACTTCATGAGAATATTAATAACGTATTTTTACACTTTGGGAACTTACAAGCTACTTGCATGAAAATTCTGTCGGCATAACAAAAGTAAAAAAAAATTATAAATTAAAGACACCAGCAAATCACAAAAAGAATATCGTTGAATGACATTTAAGGTGAAGGAATTATTACCCCGAATTATTATAATTTATTTATTAACTGACTCTTCAATGCAAATTCAAAATGACGTGAAGTATCGCAAATTTTGAAATTAAATATCTTCCCATAATTTTTGTAGTTAATTTCCATATCGAATACAGAATTTCCGTAAATATAACTAAAGGAAACAGAGGAATGTATAAAAAATTAGATTTCTTATTTTATGGAAAATTTTTAATTTTAATTTAAATGTACGAAAATGTGAATCTTTGCCCCATTTAGAAATATTTTTGTAACAGGAAGTATATGCCTATAACCAAGGGTTGCGGAAGTAAAGGATGGGTAAGCAACATTTGTGAGTAGGCTTTATACGACAACAGATCAGTCTGAGATGACTTAGTGAGGCACTGTGTTAAGAGTGCTAAGTCATTCAGCAACTATAAATACTATAAATACACATGTAGAACACATTTATTATTTTTTTCTCCCATTAAAATTGCCGTTTTCTAGAAGAAGATGGGATGTTAATAGTTTTGCTGTAAATCGATAAAACTCTAAAGCATTGAACTTGCTTATTATTTTTAAAAGGAAAAACGAACTAAGTACATAAAAATATCAGAAACTACAAGCAACCAGAGGCATTCAATTTATTTTAAGATTTCATCTAATAAAGCTGTCCTGTAAAGGAAAATTGGTGTCCTCAGTTCTCCGACAAAATTAAAATAGATTTGACATGTTGCCCTTCTATAATACTGATGTATTATGTTTTTTCTAATTAAACTATTAAACCATAATAATTAATTAACTAACAAATAATACTTGGAAAGCTAGGTATTTTTTTTTTAATTTTTATCCCTGAAATAGCATAATAAATAACTTCAAAATATCCGTTAACAATCTCAGTTTCAGTTTTTATTTAGACAATTAATTTTTAATTAATACATCATACATTTAATATTAGGAATTTATACAAATTTTTTATCCCATGATTAATTCCTTTTACTTGTATTGGAATTTGATAGTATTATAATCTTTCTTACATGACAGTATTGCAATCTTCTTACGGATTCTAATCTTTCGTGTTAAAGTGAAAATGCCTTAAGCTTCGGGTGATTCATTCTAGTGCGCTATTGGAGCGATTGCATATAGTAAAAAGTAACTGACTGGGTTGCGATTTGCTAGATTGCGTATTGCTTACTGCATAAAGAATTAAAATATTTATTATAAGTCTGTGAGAAGCTCTGTTAACAATGCAATAAATATAATTGCAATTAATACTGATTCAGAAGTCAAACAACAAAAATCAGCGTTATATTTTCAAATTTTCACCGGACTAGTGTCGACGGTTTTACCAAAATCCTCAGCTGCAAAAGCGCAAATGAACGAGATAGGATATAATAATTAGATAAGATAAGAAAGCCTGGACAGAAAATAAGCTAGTGGCGCCATCTGTTGATGAAATAAGAACTAAAACATAATTTCTTTAAAGGCCGAGGGCAAAGATGGATTGGAATTAGGATCGTTAACTAGAACAGAAAGATTTTTTTTAATGTGAAGTGCCTCTAAAAATCCAGTTCTCCAATGGAAGATGATTTTTGAATAATTTTGGCAGCAGAAAAATTGATTATTTTCTGAAAATTATTTTCTGTCCAGGCTTTCTTATCTTATCTAATCATTATATCCTATCTCTTTCATTTTCGCTTTTGCACCTGAGGATGGTGGTTCGGTACAACCATCGACGCTAGTCCTGTGAAAATATAACGCTGATTTTTGTTGTTTGACTTCAGAATTAGTACTTTTTTGGCGTGATATTGTGTCTTAATTAGTACTGAAGGCAAAGGTATGATAAGTATTGCCCTCGTTACGGGAGGATGTTACTAGCGGCAAGAGTCTCTCTAGTCGTTCTGATACCTTGCTCTGTCTGAAGTTTGCAGACTGAATTAGTAACGCTTTATTAATTTTTGGATTGTATTTTACGGCCTCTAATTCGTTGCAGTTGAAAGCAATATTAAAGGAGCTGTAGGAAGGTTGGTTAATCGGCCCTCTGACTTTGAGACTCCTGATAACAGAACAGTGGAGATCGCTAAAATCCCTGACAGTGGTAGTAGGGATATGACTCTACTAATGTCACTGAACAATTTTTTTGCTCCTGCAATGTCAGAGCATGTCGTCTCACTCTTGGTAACAGCTCGGAGACTGCGACTGTGTGGACACCGGACATATAAATTTCTTACCTTTGTGCGGTCCGCCGTAAGCTTTGGCGACATTTGAAATTCCCACATGTGAATACATTCAAGTGAATGCAAGTTCAAGTAATAACTAAAATAGATTCTAAATTATTTCATAACAAAATGCATGCAATTTAAAAATACAAATGAAATGAAAGAAAACATTTTCTTCTTCTTTTTTATAATGCAAGCTAAGTTTAAAAATTAAAGATTTTGACTTTATGTACCTTCTTAAGTATTACGTGTATTCTTCTCACAAAAATAAGGGTAATAATTTTCAAGGTAAGTATAGGAAGGAAACCTAATCGAAAGAAAATCAATATAACTTCCTAGAATCAAGAAATTTACACTGAGTATTGTTTGTTTATTCCAGATACAAATATAGGTAATCACATAAATGACTTCTTGTATATATTTTCTTACCTTTTTTTGGAAAGTGTAATGTTATTTAATCCTCCAGTTACATGAAAGTGCTTTTATGTTTGCCGATGCTTTTATAGTGTCTCTTCGTTTATCATCAAAATCTACTTAACTTCAGCTATGTACGCGCACACTGCTCTTTTATATTATACTGCTCATCTGGGAAATAAAAACACTAACTCATAAAAAGCTACACACGTTTCTAAAAATCCTTAATGCATTTCGAAGTATTTTATTGGATAACTGAGCATGATAAAAGGAAAGCTATTTTTCTCTAAAAATTAAGGAAACTGTCTGTTTTGCAGAAATAAATTATAAGAAGAGAAGGTCAAGTCTATAGAAGAAATTAAGGAAACTGTCTGTTTTGCAGAAATAAATTATAAGAAGAGAAGGTCAAGTCTATAGAAGAGGTAAATGGTAATAGTTGTATACGATATAGGCAATAGAA